GATTAGGAACAGTGGCATTTGGGGATACAGCATTCCACATTCTCCCTGTCTGCAGTAAATGCCAGAGGAGAATATTTAAGATGCTTATCTGAGGGGGAAAAGACCCAGATCTTCCAATTCGTATTACCTCCTAATTTAGCCAATTTTATCTCCCTTATTTGGTCTTGTTTCATAGAACACAAGACAAGGCATCAACAAGGAGCTGTGCACACAGCTTGTATTGGTAACCCCTGGAATTTGTGAGCAAGCAGGCGAATATGGTGGTGTCAAGAGAGCGTTTCATTTATAGAATCACAGAATGGTTTGGGTTGGAAGGGACCTCAAAGATCATCTCGTTCCAACCCCCCTGCCACGGGCAGGGACACCCTCCACTACACCAGGTTGCCCAAAGCCTCATCCAACCTGGCCTTGAACACTTCCAGGGATCGGGCAAAATTCATTCTCAAGGTGGAAGTTCATGTTTTCTGTTTCTGATGAAAAAGGACAGTCGTTTTCCAGTTACCTGAAGGCTAATGATATCCGCATCGCAGTTGACGATTTCCTCCATGATTCCCTTTTTCCTGTACTCCCAGTTGAGCGCCCAAGATGGGCAGTAGCCGTAGAGCTGCCGGGTGGCGTATTTATCACACAACACATTGTAACACATAACTGTGAACGAAGCTGGAAGACAAGAAGGAATGGGAAAGGTCATCAATGTCTGAAGATGACGAACGCCGAACTTACTCAAGCCAAAATACAGAATCTTACGCAGTCTGTTCTAGAGGACCTACTGAACACGAGGCAGTGGGCTTATTTGGCTGAGCGTTTCGTGAGCGGGAGTCAAAAAAGGTCCTGCTGAGCCAGCAGTTACCAGGTAAAGCTCAACTCTTCCCCAAAAAAACCTCAGCATTGCTACCAAAACGAGAGGGCGTCGCGTGCGGAACAAGGCGACGCGATCCCGTTTTGCGGTCGGTTCGTTATTGCCTTTGGGGATGGGGGACAGGTAGGGGTTGGCGACAATTAGGAACAGCATCTCTCGGGATTTAGGGATAAAGAGAGGGAAAGTAGCAGCTGTTTCGGTGATGGAGACAAAACCCAGTATTTATTGCATGAGGTGTCTTGATACAGCAATTTTGGGCTTAGGTGACCTGTGTAGCTCTGAAGCAAAAAGAAAACCAAGCTGCTCCTATGCCATGCAGAACTTGGTCGTGGTGGCTAACAGAACTTTGGCATTTATTCCTACTTTTTGCTGGTTTGTTGTTCTTTAATATAAAAAAAAGTGATGGATGATCTGAACGGCAACATTAGCCTGCCGAACACAGGACCAAGTTTGGAAGACCTGCTGTCTTCAAATTTCTAGAAAGAACAAGTGCAGAGGACTGCCACGTGATTCTTGCTGGTTATTAATCTGATCTTCTGCGATATCAATATCAACGTTTTCCTTCGTCATCCAAGCTCCCAGATGGTTTTTGAGGGCTGTATTCAGAATGCCCAGAGGAAGAAGAGCCACTGGGTTTGGACAGCCTGAAGAAATATTGTGTCCTGCACTTGACCAAAATTAACAATAGGTGGCATTAAACTAACTTCAGTTACTTGCAGATGGAGACTTCTCCAAGTCTCACTTTGGTCCATCTGTGAGTGCACACAGCATTTGTAGACACTTATTTTACAGTTCTTATTATTTCTGACACAAGAATTTCTTAAGAAAAGCTCTTTTGCTCAGGCATCAGTGGCTGGAACAGTTATGGAAAAGCCTAACATGGGAAAAAAAATGACCGGTGTCCCGTTCAAATTACAAAAATGATATTTACAGCACAGCCGCATGTTGATTTTTTTTAGTACAAATGAACACAAATTGCCATTTTCAATCTGATCCATGTAAGGCAGAAGAGTTCTCTGGAAATAAAGCTAAAGAGAAGTTTTTCAGTGCATCATTGTGTGAACAGAGGGAAAGGAACCACAGACTTACCTGAGGGCAGAATTTGGTCTCTTTCTTTTAAAGTAATCCATGGCCTTGGAGGCAGCTGCTCTGGATGAACTAAAAAAAAAAAAAATTAAAACAGTGATTAATTCAGGGTTTCTATTTGTAAGTCACAGTTTGTAAGTCCAAACCATGCCTGAGCAATAATGTTCCACGCTGTGCTTTGCAACCCCAACTCCCTAAGCCTTTTTATGCTCCAGGGGAGGTAAAAACCCATTTAAGTGGCTAGCTATAGTAAGAGCAGATTTGTCAGTTGTAAGACTCACGACTATTTTTGTCTCTTGCTTTCAAACCTAGAAGCACCACTGAAATACTCCTGCGCCTTGAATATGCTGCTGAAGAAGGAGGGGTAAATCCTGTAGCGGTTC